CCAGTGGAAGTGGATCTGTGACTGAAGCTCTCCTCCTGTGTAACCTCTAGTCTGTCCCGTGTCCAGGAGACGATGTGGGGAGCCGGGAGGAGGCGCGGGGCCCGGCCCTGAGGAGGTGTCCTGCGGCTGCAAGGAGCACGATTCCCCCCCGGCCCTCCTGCAACGCTCTGGGACACTCCTACTAAGATGTCCCTCAGCAGCGGCACTGCAGACGGGAAAGGTGTGGACCCCAACGCGGTGGAGGCGTACGACAGCGGCGACGAGTGGGACATCGGCGTGGGCAACCTCATCATCGACCTGGACGCCGACCTGGAGAAGGACAAGCTGGAGATGTCCAGCGGCAAGGAGGGAGGGGGGGGCATGGCAGCCCCTCCCGTGGCCACTTTAGTTGACAACATCAAGTTTATTAGCATGGGAGCGGCCACGCAGGCTAAAGAGAGCAAAGCCAAATCCAAACGTAGTAAGAACTCCAAGGAGAGCGCCAAGTTGGGCCTAGAAGGAGCCAAGAAAGAGATCCAGGGTCGGGGGCCCGGGAACCCGCACAGCCAAAACCTCAACCGTACAACCCAAATTAAGGGGGCCGACAAGTTTGACAAACCCCCCCGTACTATCCCCGTGATGAAAAAGGACAAAGATGGGGTTTCTGGGAAAGCTAAGAAGGAGAAGATGGAGGAGGTGACTCTGGGAGCCCTTGGCCCCGAGAAGGAGTCGGTGGCCCCCATCCTTCCGGCGGGAGCCCCTTGCATCGTCCTCTTTGAGGACCAACAAAAACCTGAGTCGGCCATAGCCAAGCAGCTTGGTGACATGGCGCTAGACACATTTGGCCTGCCCGTTGCCATGACGATGCAGGAGCCAGACAGCGGCGACTGCCGGAATCTCAAAAAAGCGGTTGGCGTGAAGGTAAGAGGGTTCAAAATGGCGACCACTCAAAAATTCGACCAATCACTGAATTGCCATTTTACGCCGAGGTTTTGACGGACAGGTGTGGTTGGATTAGGCGTAATGAATATTGCTACATTGAATATCGACAGACTGATCAACGTAGAAGTCAGGCTCCAACTAAATGATCATACGTTTCCCACAATGCAACTCTCTTTAAAGCAGGGGTACCCAATAGGTTGATCTCGAAGGCAGTATCAGTCGATCACGTGCCATCGATAAAAAAAATGACGTCACGCATGCGCGGTCTACCGCGGCAGGTGACTGAAACTAATGTTAATGCTAATTAGCGATCATTGCTTACTAACGGACGCTTTTCATTTAATTCGTAAGCGCGTCAGCCTGCCGGTCCCGGAGGGGAGTCGGTAGAGCGCCATGAATTGGTTAGTTGAAAAGTCGCTCGCGCTAACTATTACAAAGTGTCTTCTGCCTGAACCGTCGTCCTACGTTCTCCTAAGAGATTACGCTCTTTAGCATACAGGTTATAATCTAAAAGTGAGAAAAAATTACAGCTTTTTTGTGTTTACAGTCAAATCAGCTCATTACATTTGTCCAAATTATGGTGAGTGGTTTGGACCAATCAGGAAGGATGTCTGCTCCTTATGGGTGTAACTGATTGGATGCTGGGCCGTCTTTGGACCAAGATGGGACCTGTGCAGAGGGAGGTATGCCAGTGTTTCCCACACGCAGACCTCGTCTGAACTTGAACCAGCCAATGGCATTGTAATAAAACAGACCCCTCCCCTCAGTAACAGGGTGGGTTGATTGGAGGGGGTTTCCCAAGTTCCAGGGTTGTTTTTTCATGAAAGCTTTGTCTTGTAACCACGGCAACGCCCTCCGAGCTGGTGGCTGAAGCAGAGCTCACCCGGTCATGTGTGTGTTCTCCTCAGAGCCGGTTCATCAGCACCGATAATAATGTCAATTGTGAAATTTGCTTGTCTGCTAAATTTGTTGTTGATTTTACTGTTTTAAGTTAACTTTATTGCTGGTTTGCTTTAAGGACAATCAACCTTTTGTCTCCTAAACGACGGGGGAGTGGTCAGCGCTGCCATAGCCGACTTCCACTAACGAGGGAGTATTTGACTAGAGGTCGAGTGAAGCGTTAGCTTCAGCGTTTGCTTATCCTCGCAGCACGAAGATGAGCAGGACAAAGACAAGGGAGTCTTTTGTGGAGTCCTCGGGGCGGCTGAATGCGACGCCTTCTTCTGCTATTTTTAATAATGTGTTTGACCCCTTTACCCGTGCCTGTTCGAATCTCTTCCCGCAGATACTACAGGCCTCGTGCTAGATCTGCTTTCTATCGTAACCTCTCCTCTCTCACCTATCCCACCCGCTCCACTCATGTCCAGCACCTCGTCACAGGAGGCCTCTGGAACAGCCAGTCAGCTACTCCCAAGGCAGACTTCATCTCCGGCTTTGCTGTCCAGCAGTCGCTTGACTTCCTCTCTCTCACAGAGACCTGGATCACACCTGAGAACACATCCACCCTAGCCGCTCTCTCCTCCGCCTTCTCCTTCAGCCACGCTTCCAGGCCCACTGGTAAGGGTGGTGGCACAGGTCTACTCATTTCACCCAAATGGAGCGTTTCTCTTTACCCTCTACCACCATCCACCCAACTGTCTTTTGAATTCCATGCCGTACCAGTTACTCACCCGGTGCAATTAACCATTGTTGTCCTTTACCGTCCACCAGGCTCCTTCGGTAATTTCTTGGAAGAACTGGACATTCTCCTGTCCAACTTCCCTGAAAATGGCCCTCTGCTCATCCTCCTGGGTGACTTCAACATCCAGGCAGAGAAGTCATCTGACCTCTTACACCTACTTTCTTCTTTCGCTCTTCTAAAGCCTTTCTTTACTAGAAACTGCTCTACCACTAACCTCTCTGTAACTCCACTTCATGTCTCTGACCACTTCTTCATCTACCACTGTCTATAACTAACGACCCTCCTCCATTCACTGACTCTGTACCTGTTCGTCGCAATATTCGCTCCCTCTCTCCCTCCTCGCTGGCATCCTCTGTTCTATCAGCTCTCCCTTCAACTGACTCCTTCTCACTCTTGCATCCGAACGCTGCCGCAGAGACTCTCCTCTCAACTCTCCTCTCAACTCTTTCCTCCTCTCTAGACTCTCTCTGCCCTATAACGACCCGACGGGTCGGCAAATCCCCTCCGGCTCCGTGGCTGTCTCAACCGGTGCCATGAGAGCCACCATGCGAGCATCGGAAAGGAGATGGCGTAAATAAAAACGACCTGACGACCTGCTTGAATTTCAATCTCTTCTCTCCTCTTTTTCTGCTTCTATCTCTGCTGCCAAAAGCTCTTTCTACCAATCCAGAATCAAATCCTCATTTTCTAACCCCCAAAAACTCTTTTTTGATCTTCACCAACCTCCTCGAACCCCCTAGTCCTCCTCCCCCCTCCATCCTTCTTCCGGGTGACTTTGTCAACTACTTCACCAAGAAAATAGCTGACATACGCTCCTGTTTCTCAAACCCACCTCCTACTTCTTGCATTCAACTGGCTTCACCTCTATCGCCCTCACTTTCCTCTTTCACCCCCCTGTCTCCTAACCGAATTCTTACCCTAGTAACCTCTGCCCGTCCGACCACCTGCCTTCTTGACCCCATTCCATCACATCTTCTACAATCTATCGCTTCTGACCTTCTTCCTTTCCTCACCTGTCTCATCAACAATGCTCTGTTATCTGGCTGTTTTCCCAATTCTCTGAAGGAGGCAAGAGTTAACCCTCTCCCGAAGAAACCCACCCTCAACCCATCTGAAGAAAACCACTACTGGTCTCTCTTCTTCCCTTTTTGTCCAAAACCCTTGAACGTGCGACCTTTAACCAACTCTCCTCTTATCTCCACCATAACAACCTCCTTGACCCCCACCAGTCAGGCTTCACGGCCACTCCACAGAGACTGCTCTCCTTGCTGTCTCAGAGCAACTCCACACTGCTAGAGCCGCCTCTCTCTCCTCTGTCCTCATCCTTCTGGACCTCTCTGCTGCATTCGACACAGTCAACCACCAGATCCTTATTTCCTCCCTTCAGGAACTTGGTGTCTCAGGCTCTGCTCTCTCCCTTCTCGCGTCCTACCTTGACGGCCGCAGCTGCCGGGTAACCTGGCGAGGATCTGTGTTGGAACCTTGTCCTCTTACTACTGGAGTTCCTCAGGGTTCCATCCTGGGTCCCCTTCTCTTCTCGTTCTACACCAACTCTCTCGGCGCTGTCATTCGCTCGCATGGCTTCTCCTACCACAGCTATGCAGGTGACACACAACTAATTCTCTCCTTCGAACGAATCTCTGTCTGTCTGATTGACATCTCTCAGTGGATGTCCGCCCACCATCTGAAAATCAACCCTGACAATACTGAACTACTTCTCTTTCCGGGAAAAGATTCTCCGACCCAGGACCTGACAGTCAACTTTGGCAACTCTGTGTTAACGCCCACTTTAACTGCTAGGAACCTCGGCGTGACTCTCGACAGCCAACTCTCCCTGACTCCCAACATCACTGCAACAACGCGATCCAGTAGATACACGCTCTACAACATCAGGAGAATACGTCCCCTTCTCACTCAGAAGGCAGCGCAGGTACTGATTCAGGCTCTTGTCATCTCACGCCTGGACTACTGCAACTCCCTCCTGGCTGGTCTCCCTGCTACCGCCATTCGACCTCTGCAGCTCATTCAGAATGCAGCACCTCGACTGGTCTTCAACCTTCCCAAATTCTCCCACACTACTCCACTCCTCCGCTCTCTTCACTGGTACCGGTGGCTCATCCAGTTCTAAACATTGGTGCTCACCTACCATGCTGTGAATGGATCGGGTCCAGCTTACATCCAGGACATGGTGAAACTCTACATCCCGACCTGCACTCTCCGCTCTGCACCTGCTAAACTGCTCGTCCCTCCCTCACTGAGAGCAAAACACTCGATTAGATCTCGACTCTTTGCTGTCCTTGCTCCTAAATGGTGGAACGAGCTCTCTAAAGACACCAGGACCGCAGAGAGCCTTCACATCTTCAGACTAAAGACACACCTCTTCAGACTCTACCTCGACTAAAAGACTAACAAATTGTAGCACTTAAATTGTACTTATAACGCCACTCATCTATAGCAAGTTGTAATTGGCTTATTTGAGGAAATTGTACTTTCTTGTTTCTTGTTCTCCTGAGTTTGTACCCTATGGTTGAATGCACTTATTGTACGTCGCTTTGGATAAAAGCGTCAGCTAAATGACATGTAATGTAATGTAATAATCAGCTGCAGCTTTAAACAGACGTATTTAAACTCCCAGAATGCATTCGTCAGGTGTTGGCAAGTTTTGGTTGCTGGAAGTCTGTGACTGTTTCCTCTGATTGATCAGATTGATTGATTGATTGATTGATAGGTAAAACTTTTCATATTTCAAACAATTGATTGTTTTCGTCTTCATTTTACGCAGCAAAATGTTAACAAAATATACGATTGAGAAATTCTATCACACAGTAGATAAACGCTATGCTCTCTTGCCTCAAGCAGCACTTCTGTGTTGCACCTGCTGCATTTTATTTATAATGTTCATAGTTTGAAGTTAAAAAGTTCAAAGCTGTAGTTTGAAGTGTTTTTTATTCATTTATATTTACAGTATTGTTTAGACCAGGGGTCTTCAACGTTTTTCAGGCCAAGAACCCCCAAACCGATGGCGAGATGGAGCAGGGACCCCCTATTTTACGGAGTTTGGTCCGCCATCTTTATTTTTGAGCTTCGCGCTTTTGAGATGTGAGCATAAACGCGATCTGATTGGCTGGTGCCTGTGCTGTCATATTTGCATGAAAGGTGCTGTGAGTGAACCGGTGCCCAGCTTGAGAGCTGCTGTGGATAGATGAATGTGTGTATTGTGACTGAGTGAAAGATAATGTCGTCTCCATCATTTATCCGTTCGCTACAACATTTTGGATTCATGTTAATGTGTATTTAAAGACGATGAATACCATTCTAATTTTGAAGACAATAAAAAGAATTGAAGAGTTGAAATTCTTAAAAAAAAAAAAATTTAGAAAAGGTTTTTGTCAAACAAACATTTTGCCGATGCCCTGTTGAAGACCTCTGGTTTAGACAGTCAATATATTGTTCAATTTTGGAGAAAACCCCTCCCCTCTCTTTCTTTCGGTTCAGGCACCGTTTTGGCAGCGGTATTATTTTATCGGAATCGGAAAAAAGTATTGGAAAAAAAACATCCCCATTAACAGATCATAATTCATCTCAAATATGTATTTTTTTGAAAACATGTGGATTTATTGATTTAAAAGATACTTCTGGACACATCACACTAACAACTGAAGTGAGCCTCCATGCTTCATGGGGCTTCATTCGCTCCACTGCATCTAGTGGCCAAACCATATAAAGCAGACAGGGTGATTATAATGACACCATTAAAGCATTGGTTTAACGCTTTTAATTGAATAAAACAATTAATTTTGTTTTTATTTCAATACACAAATCCAGTTATAGATATTTTGTCTGTCTTTGTATTAGAATGGGGGGGGGGGGGGTCAAAAGCAACAGTGGCAACATATTGGGGAGACCATTGTGATGTAAATGTGCTTGTGTGTCTTATATTGCGTAAATTTTCGGCACGCTTTACTCGCACGACTTGTAGTTAATTTCACATTCGCGTCTCTTTCATTCGCTTCGTATGCGCCGGAAAGAGGGCGTGGCTTATCTCCGTAGCCTGTCTCCGTAAAGACAGTTATCATTTCCCTATTCTGCCATGGAAATAAACATTGTTTTTGCTCTATAACTAACTAACTCGCGGGCGTTCCGGATCACCTGTGTGTGTGTGTCAGCCTCAAGCAGCATTTTCATGAAGTGAACGCTCTGGCAGCAGAACGTCGGAGAGGCCGAGTGCAGCATCTCAATGCTGTGTGGCTTTCGCAAGACAGCGCCGGCAAAAAAAGCGATTAATTCGCTTCGCTCCCTTTGCTTCTTCGCATTTTTCGTGTTGCGTCTTTCGCGTCGCGCCCTCTGCGCCACCCGTTGAAAATTTGCTTCCTCCGCAACCATTTGCGTCTGTGTATTGAAATCTACTCATGCAAATAATTTGCTTCGCTTTTGGTGTGAATGCAGAATGATTTGATTTTCGATTTGCCGAATTGCACGCCAAACCTGTGAACCATTTCCTGAATCAGTCATATGGTACAGCTGGCGAGGCTTCCAACTTCACAACATCCAAACTTTATTTACACTCTGGTGGTTAACGTTAATCTGTGAGAACGAGTGACGTTTGTTTCCACGTTGTGTGGATCAATGTACCAGTGACATCATCTCTTTCCCCACAGATGGATTCTCCGGTCTCCGCCCCTGCTCCGGCTCCTCCACCTCTTCACCTCCTCACTCCCGTCCCCATCAGCAAAATCTCGTTTCCGTGCGAGCAGATAATGGTTCGCACGCGCTCTGTGGCGGTGAACACGGCGGACGCGGAGTTAGCGAAGGAGACGGAGTGCCTGGGACCCTGTGAGCCAGGCACCAGCGTCAACCTGGAGGGGATCGTGTGGCAGGAAACGGAGGACGGTAAGACGGATACAGCCTCCACTCAGGTGGAGGTATCAGAAACGTTTCATCTATTAACTATTGATTGATTTATTTATTGTTTGATTATTCATTTATTATATAGTTATTCAAGGACAAATAAGGAATTCATGATTATTATTTTTATTATTCTAAACTAAAACTACTTAAAGATATACATTTAGCTTACAATTGATTCCGGCCTTGAGTCACCACCAAGTGATGAAACAAACCGAATAAAACAACAGCACAGTTACTACATGAACTGATACCTTAACACCTAGTCATGTGACTCACACGGCTTTAAACCGAGATGACGTCACCTTTGACTCGTCTTTCCTGCCGTGGTCGTCTCTCTTCAGGCATGCTGGTTGTTAACGTCACCTGGAGGAACAAAACCTACGTGGGAACCCTGCTGGACTGCACTCGGCACGACTGGGCCCCCCCCAGGTACACACACCACGCTTCACACACGCCACGCTACACACACCGCGCCACACACACACCACGGGGCGTCGTTGTGATGCTGTGGCGACGCCAGAAGTGATTACAACACTGTTTACATGTCTGAGGATTCCATAAGGACGAGTAAGTAGTACGTTTTAGAAACAGGTGTTCAAATCTATGAGTTTATCGGCTCAAATGAAATATTTTACACCTATTCATGCTTGTTTCTTTCATCCTGACATGTATATGATGAATATCTGGACTTCCTCTTCAGGTTCTGCGAGTCTCCGTCCAGCGACGTGGAGATGCGTAGCGGCCGCGGCCGGAGGAAGAGGATGCGCCCCGGCAGCAACACCCCGCTCAACGACAACAGAAATTCCTCTGACAACCGGGGCAGCGGCGGCGTGGGAAAGACGCGCGGCGCCGCTGCCGCTAACAGTAAAGGGCAAAGAGGCAGCCAAACGGCGGGCACCGGTGAGGACGCCATGGCCAGCCCCTCCTCCGCCAAGAGGAAGACCAAGCCCACCTCTGATATGGAGCCCACCTCCAGCTCTGAGGACACCAAGGCCTCCAAGCACATGAGGACCAACTCCAGCGGGGGCGTGTGTGACCCACCGCCCGCCACTCACCCGGAACGGAGCTGCCCCTCCCTGGTGCTCATCGACTGCCCCCACCCAAGCTGCAAAAAGAAGTACAAGCACATCAACGGCGTTAAGTACCACCAGGCCCGGGCCCACAACGACCACGACGTCCGGCTGGACCAGGACGCGGACAGCGAATACGGCGACGACTCAGCCCCCCCGCAGCCAGACCCCGCCTCGCTTAACAGCGCCAACATCTCCCCCGCCCACTGTGCCACGCCTAAGGGCTGGGGTTTTGACACTCTGTTGCCCTCGCCGGGGAAGACCAAGTCCAGGCCGAAGAAGAAGGAAGTGGAGCCCGAAGGGACGGAAGCGGCATGTTTGACGGACGATGCAAGCAACGATGGAATGGACGACAGGAAGCCGAAGAAGATGGCGGCCAGGGACAGAACTGACAAACTGACCCAGAAGGGCACAAAGCAGGGCCGGAGCAGCACCCCCTCGCCCTACGTCCTGCAGGCGTCCTCCCCCACCATGGTCTTGGTAGTACAGCCCGTCCCCAAGAGCCCCCAGCTGAAGGTCGTCCAGTCCAAACCCCCGCCTCTGGTGGACCCCGCCTCCAGCCCCACCCTCGCCAAGGACAAGAAGAAGAAGAGGAAGAGGGAGAGAGGGAAGGAAGGGCACAGTCCCAATGGTAAGGGGGGGAGGGCAGAGGAGGGACGGAGCCCGTACTCCGACATGTGTGACCCGTTGCTCAACGGCTCTACGGAAGCCCTTCAGAGCCGGCTGGCCAGCATCAAGGCCGAGGCCGACAAGGTTTACAGCTTCTCGGACAACGCGCCCAGCCCGTCCATCAGCACCGCCAGCCGGATGGAGGCGGGCCTCGAGCCTCAACCCAACCAGAACGGCGAAACCAAAAGCCCTGCCTACTCTGACATCTCAGACGCCGGGGAGGATGGTGAGGGCAGAGGGGAGGGGGTAAAGGTCAAAACCGAGCCTTACTTGTGGCCTCGCGAGGGGGCCAAGAAGGCCCTGTTTCCCCCCCAGGCTTCTAGCAAGGAGTCGGCGTACCCCAGCTATGACTCCTACTACTCCCCCAACCCGAGCCCGGGAGCGCCACCAGCAGCGCCGCCCCACGTGGAGGGATCCCAGGTGAAGGTGAAGAAGGAAGAAGAGGAGGAGAAGGTGGTCAAACTGAAGGTGGAGCCTCCGGAGGAGAGGAAGCCGTCAGTCATCCAGCAGCGCTCCAACATGTACCCCCAGCCTGTCTACTACAACCAGTTCTTCGTCCCCCCATACCCATACTCCCCCGACCAGGCCTACCACGCCCACCTGCTGGCCTCTAACCCCACCTACCGCCAGCAGTGCGATGACCGGCAGCGGCTGGCTGACAAGAAGGCTGAGAGCAAAGAGCGGGAAGCCTGCGGCAAGAAGGAGTGGAAGCAGAAGGCCTTGGTGCTCCACAACCTGTCCAGGGCCCCCAGCCTCACTGACCTGGGCACCATGGGGGGAAACAACCCAGATAAACCCAAAGAGGCCCCGCCGGCCGCGGAGCATTCCGAATCTGTCACCATGGCAAAGGGAGTAGAGCGGAAGGCGCTCACCGCACAGCCCGAGGGTTTAAAGATGAAGCTGAGCGAAGCAGGGGATCATGGGAAAGAAGAGGCCAGGCCAGCGGTGGAGTCGGGCAGGCCGGCAGGTGTAGAGCCCGCCATGTGGTACAGACAGGTAACTGCAGCTCTAACACGTTGCGCCCTTTAGTTGTTCTAATATATATACTTACGCGCAGGGGGGCGACTCCTCTGGTCCCATAGAAGTCTATGATAAAATGACTCCTCTTTTGATTTATTCCCTCAGTAAACATTGTAAACATGAGTTTATGGTCACAATCTCTTGTTTCAAGTCTTCTTCAATACAGCATGATGTTCATTTAGTGAATTAGAGTCAATCAGACCGTAAAGCAGAGGGATGCTTTAGGGCGGGGCTACTCACTGATTGACAGGTCTCTACCGGAGACGTATACTTCCTACTCAGTCCAAATATTGTAACTCCCTGTTCACTATTTGCAAAAGAATCAAGAATACCGACGTCCATAATGCTTGGGTTCATCCAACACAAATATTGTGTTTTGACTAGAGATCAATGAAAACATTGAGGGGAGGGCTCACCGCTGAACTGTAATAATTCGTTCAATATTAATTTGGAACACAGAACTTTATTGGAGTAAATACAAAACAGGGATTCACGCCTATACAAACGTCGTACTAAAACAAACATCACTAGATTGAACTATACACAATTCACACGATATACAACTCTACAACTTGCTAAAAAAGACACGTAAGACAGACGCGGTGTGCACGGAGGGGAGGGGCTGTGTGTGCGTGTGTGTGTGTGATTGTGTGTGTGTATGACGGAGGGAGAGTAGGGAAAGGAAATGCAGCTGAACGAATACGCTGCGTGATTTAAATAGCGTTTTTTTTTTTAAATACACCAAACGCAATGGGTGGCGGCTAGTGTTGAATCTGTGGCATGTGTGGGAAACAACGTTGGAAAATTAAAAAAAACATGATTCAGAAAAAAAGTCTGTTCAGCAGCAACTATTAAAGTCAGTTGCCACTGCCTTTATTCCCCAAAAATTAAACATGTGGCCCCATTTATTTTTCTTGCAAGTTAATGACCTCTAACTCAAGCTACAAGCCCCCCAGCCGTCTCCACTAACCTCTGCTCTGCTCCCCCCAGGAGCCGGACTCGCACCTCTGGCCCTACGTTTACCCCAACAAGTATTCTGACGCCCCAAAGCCACCGGAGGAGGAAAAGCAGTGGAAAGAGGAGCGCGAAAGGAGGGGCAAGGAGGAGAGGAAGGAGGGGGTTAGGGGCAGAACTCAGCTGCCCCCAGGAGAGCACTGGGCAGGGGGAAAGGAGACGCGTCAGCCCCCCCACCCGCACATGCAGTTCTCCGGCTTCTTGGCTCAGCACCCCCAGGGCTACGTGCCCTATATGCACGGCCCCTACGGCTATGAGCCAGGACCCCCAGGCTACCGGGGCATGCCCTCCATCATGATGCAGAATTACCCTGGTATGCGGGGGGTAATGAATGTTAGAATGAATTCCCATCATGCACCATGTTATTTGTTTATTATAATTAAATCACACAAACAAGTACTGAGCAGAAACAGTGATTTAGCGTCATGGTTTCCGTGGAGACATGTCCCTCCCCCTCTCAGTCTGCTCTCCGTACCCAGATTCCTACCTGCCGCGGGGCTACTCCTTCCCCTCGTACGGGGCCAAGGAGGAGGTGGAGAAGCCCTCCCGCTCCAGCCCCACGGTGAAGTCCCCCGGAGAGGCCAAAGCTCTGGAGCTGCTGCAGCAGCACGCCAGCCAGTACAAGAACAAGTCCCCCTCCACGCAGGATGCCAAGCCCCCCCACGAGCGGGAGAGGGAGGGGCCCAAGTCGTCCCCCTCACAGCGCATGCTGCCCACACACCACCACCTGAGCTACCCGCTGCTGTCGGGGCAGTACGACCTGTCCTACGCCTCAGGTGAGACAGGGAGCGCTTGATTTATTCACATTCTGGGAATCGTATTCAATCCTCAGCTCCTCAGTGAAACTACGATGTCATCACTGTCTACCTGCTTGTTTGTCTCCCTCTATCCTGTTTCCCCGCTCCCTGTCTGTCTCTCTGCTTGTCTATCTACCTGCCTGTCTGTCTCCCTCTCTCTGTGTCTCAGGCCTCTCCTCCTCAGCCATCGTTGCGAGTCAACAAGCATCGGCTCCATCCATGTACCCCCCCTCAGAGAGGCAAGACAGGTGAGACCCGGCTCTGTCCACCCAAAGTCCCCAAGTGTTGGAGGTGGCGGAACACCAGAGGTCAAAGGTGAAGGTGCAGAGCATTGTTGCTCCCCCCCGTCCCAGACTGGATCAGAACCTGTGACAGTTTTTATGTTCATTCAAAGTGTTAAAGCTAACAGAAACCAAGAAATCCAAGAAAATTATGTGTATGTATATCATGATATATATATATTATATAATATTTTATATTTGTATATATATTTAAATATAAAAGAATACATATATGTATGTTTGATTGATATTGGTGAGAAGTTGACAGTAAATTCAAACTTAGATGTTTCTTTTGACGTTAAGATGAATTTTTTTTAAATTTATGTTAAACACTAACGTGTTCATTCTCAGAACCCCCCAACCCCCCATTCTCAGAATCTGCGACCCCTCTCTGATCAATGACAGCCTCTCTCTCCCCCCTAGGCCCACGTGATTGGCCGACCTCAATCCTTTCCAGAGTCATGTGACCAGATCACATGAGAAAGAGCGCTTCAATTACGACATCAGTTCAATGGTGTTTGTGTACATTTGATTTCCCACCCTGGACCTCGATCTCTTAGCTTCACATGAAAATAAATATACTGTGGACTTAGGACGGACGAATCAGAGGGTTGCATCCCCAGACTCCTCCTCTGTGTGTAACTGTACTGTACTCAGTGTGTGTGTGTGTGTGTGTGTGTAAATACTGTACAGAGGAATTATTTTAAAGAGCCTGTTGGATTTTATACTCTTATTTTGTCTGGTAGCCTCTGCCTCTGTTTTTCTACTGTTGTTGATCTGATACTAAACCTGTAGCTGGTGAACGGCGACAAGCTCTGCCTCCTCTTTGTCCGAAGATAATGATTGGTCGATTATCACAGCTCGTCACTTGTTGCTGAATATCTTCTGGGTTTCCACGGCAAGTTCAAAACATTCACTTTGAAAAAAGAGTAACATCTGGGATGAAATCATAGACCCATCCACCCAGGTTGAACCTCGTGACTTCATGTAGTGTGGAGGTTCTGCCTCGAGGGGGCGATGCTGCTCCGTTAAACATCCATATGTTAAAATATTAGTTTCTAGTTAATACTTTTTCCTCTCTAATTCTAATTCATCCAGATACTGTTATATTATTATTTACCAATGTTTTCTTCCAGAACAAAAGCCCTTTTTAAGAAATATATATAATAAAATACAACTCCAGATCTCTGAAGCGTCACTGACTCATGAATCACGTGCCTGGACAGAAGACGTGCACGCAGCGTAAATAAACCTCACAGGACGCTTGATTGAAGAGCAGACCATAAAGTGGTTTCCTCCTTGGTGACATCACACTTCTCTCAGACCGGAAGAAACAAAGCACAGAAAGCTTCCCATTTTATTTTTATACTCTTAAACGGGTCTCGTATTTTCATGTTATTGTAACAATCAGGAATCTTCCATCGTTGTGTATTTAGTCACATGACAGCTTTCCTGAGGTCAGGTTCACTGACTGACTGTATTGATTAGTTTTATTCTCTGCCAAAATGAAGAGGGGAGTCAAAATAAAATAAAGGTAATTTTAGCAAGATTTAGTTTGTGCTTCTACCTTGATTCTCTAAATAGATTCTGAATAAATAACGTAGAGCCGAGCTCTACAAAGACAAAACACTGATGCCGGTAGTACCACTGTGTGAAATACTGCTGCTGTGGTATTAAAATTAGTATTTTTATGGTACCTGTACTGAGCCAGTGAAGGAATGTCATGATCCCCCAAGAGTTTAAATCCGATCGACTTCATGCTCAGGCAAATAGATTTTGACACCTTTGTGGTCAATAGTTATTAAAATCAAGAGTTTTCGTTAAACTACCAGGGCGTGACCTCACGTCCATTTTGGTCGATTTCTGTCGATTTTCTTGAAAATGTAAAATGTTATAACTCCAAACAACATTTTTATTTCTGGCCGAAATTTCTAATTCATGATGCTATTGTACGCCTTAAAGAATTCCCATGCAGTGATTTTCAAAAACTTATAGCGCCACCTATTGGCTTAGCTAAATGCAAAAGTTATACACTTTAATGTGTATCTCCTAGCCATATAATCCGATCAACCGCAAATCGTAGCATATAAACCTTAAGGCTTTGATGATAGTGCACTGTGAATATTGGGAGTTTTTGAAAAAACGTGTTGCCGTGACGACACTGTCTTCGCATGAAAGTTCAAGCAGATACTTTGGTGCCTTAGCAAACTATAAAACTCTTGAAAACTTCTGTCAGTGTCCTATGTGATGACATTAAAGACCTGATATGGAGTTTTGACTCAAAAATGCTCAATCACCTCCATAGCTCCCCCTGGCAGTTTTCAATGATGCAGGGAGACGTAAAAGAAAGTCTCTTGGGACCATGCTCTAAAAGGAACAGGAAAGCAGTTATGATTCTTTTGTTTGAATATTCCCTGTATTTCTCTCATTTTCTAGAAGCTATGCTTTTGACGACCTCCTCTCTGCGACTTTGTCACAGCCACTTCAAATTTTGACAAAACAGTCTTAAGGCCTTGGTGATTAAAAGTTATTGAAACCTTTTTGTGTTACGCTGTTGCTGTGGGATCCTGATATTCAAGGTCAAAGCAGAAGTCCTTTTGAGGGACAAAGTATGCTCCAATCTTTACTAAACTTGGAAAACACATTTACAGTTGACGATGTAGTTATTTCATATGATTTCAATGCTTCCAAACAGCATTTTGGCTTGATAGTGCCCCCTACACTTATTCATAAACTCTCCTGGCAGGTCTCCCTCCTACAGCTCTACGAACTCTGCAGCTCATCCAGAATGCAGCAGCTCGACTGGTCTTTAAACAGCCTAAATTCTGCCACACTACTCCGCTCTCTTCACTGGCTACCAGTGGCTGCACGCATCCACTTCAAAACATTGGATTTCACGTGACATGCAGTGAAAGGATCGATTCAAGTCTACATCCAGGAAATAGTCAAACCCTACATCCTAACCTGCAAACTCCGCTCTGCATCTGCCAAATGGTTTGTTCCTCCCCCACTGAGAGCAAAACACTCAACAAGATCACAACCCTTTGCTGTCCGGGCTCCTAAATGATGGAATGAGCTCTTTGATGACATCAGGATCGCAGAGAGTCTTTACATCTTCTGCCGCACACTAAAGACACACCTCTTCAGTCTATATCATGACTAAAAACACTTAATGAATTGTACTACTTAATCATAATTGTAATGCTCTTAGCTATAGCAAGTTGTAAATTGGCTTGAAATGCACTTATTCGCTTTGGATAAAAGCGTCAGCTAAATGACATGTAATGTAATCATAAAGCAGCCCCAGCAACTGCTTTAAACCAGTTGGAGTCATTGGGAGGCTATGGCTATGATCCAGCTGTGCGGATTTCTCCTCCATATCAGCAGAGAAGGTGTGTCATATCTTCTTCCTTCCTTCTTTCTCTGCATCTACATCTTTGGCTTACTGGAAATCCGATGCTGTCAGATCCTGGGACGCGGAAGGAGGGTGCAACTTGCTTCAGTCCTTGTTGTGGTTCAGCTTGCAGAGACAACAACTCTTTTGCCTGCATGCTACCCCCTCCAGCATGTCAGTGCTGAGGTGTGGCAACCTCTCTTAATACCTGAAGCCTCAGGTGTCCCTGCTGTCTGTCCTTGAATATTAAAAATATCCTTTATGCTTTACGAGTTCCTGTCTCTGTCCTGGAAAGCAGCCCTCACTTTGGAGCAGCGGCCCACAGCAGGCAACGCGTGTCTGGCTGACCGCTGCCCACCCGTCATGCAAGGGGAGGCGAAGGCCCGTTCATCGTTGCTTGCAGCTTTAATTATTATTATTATTTCTTGCGCTCAATCGCACTTTTGAGGCCTTTAACATATTCAAAAACTCTTGAATTTTGGCGTGCGTATCGAAAGTGCGAAACCTTTCAATATTCTTGGGGTCGCGAATTTGGGTATTAAAAAATGGCTCTCTAGCGCCCCCTTTACATGTGTAATTTTGGCCTATTAGTTTACTTTTTTCCCCCGATGACAATTGACCTGAAATTTTGCACACATGTGCTCTTGGACAAGCTCTACAAAAAGTAAATCATTGTATGCAAATGCACCTAACTAGATTTTCTGCCATTTAGAATTTTGGGGAAAACGTTTTTGGCCCTTTCTCCTAAACGCTATGTCCGATTGTCACGAAATTTTCTGTGAGTCATTATTGGGTCAATGCCCCCCCCAATACATAGAAATGTATGGTTGTGGCTTAATTTGGCAAGACTGATAACTTCCAAATTATTTGGTCTTCCCTTATCAAACACATTCGAACATTGAACCCCCGAACACACACAATATTTGAAGAATAGGGGGCGCTGCAACTAATTGTTAAAAATCTTCCTTCTTTGTTTCATGATTTTTCAGAGTTGTAAAACACCGAACTCCTCCCAGAGATTAAACCCGAAGAAATTTCCAACCATGTGTGTAGGGAGCATTTTTACAAAACCACCATTTGGCATGAAAATTGAAGTTGTTTTAACTCATGGGTGTCAAACTCTGGTGCGTGGGCCAAATTTGGCCCACAGTGTAATTATATTTGGCCCGCAGGGCAATATCAAATTACTATTAGAGCTGGCCCGTTGGTATTATACAGCGGCAGTTCGGTGCTTGTAAGTTATATAAGCGTTGCTTGTTCCGTATTCAATGTTAAAGCAAAACTTGTTTGGGTTCATATTAAAAGCTTCATTTGTTCAACGTTGGCCCGTGGCTATGTTTAATTTTAAATTTTGGCCCGCTGTCTATTTGAGTTTGACATGGGACATGGAGCAGCCGGGGCTCAAACCACCAACCTTGCAGTTCCTAGCGCACCCTCTCTACCCCTGCGCCACGTCCCCTTGTCCTTCTCTCTCTATCTGGTTGTTGATGCTGGACTAACTGGCTCAGTCTGGTCGGCTGTCTCTATCTTGCTGGCTCTCCCGTTCATCTCCTTGCGTCTACCGTTGTCCCACAACTGGTGTCCCTACACTATCTTTTACTAAACATTTTAGCCATCCCCAGTGTCATGATGTCTCCTCCCTTTCCATATCTTTGCAACCTTGCCTAGTTGGCGTCTCACTATATTTGTCTATGGGCCTCCTGTTGGTGATTCTCCCTGCCCGCTGTTGAATTGGCTCTCTGCGGTCCTGGTGTCTTCAGAGAGCTCGTTCCACCATTACGGAGCAAAGACAACAAAGAGTCATGATCTAGTCGAGTGTTTTGCTCTCAGTGAGGGAGGGACGAGCAGTTTTGCAGATGCAGAGCGGAGAGTGCGGGTCGGGATGTAGGGTTTTGACCATGTCCTGGATGTAAGCTGGACCCGATCCATTCACAGCATGGTACGTGAGCACCAATGTGTTGAAGTGGATGCGGGCAACCACTGGTAGCCAGTGAAGAGAGCGGAGTAGTGTGGGAGAATTTAGGCAGGTTAAAGACCAGTCGAGCTGCTGCATTCTGGATGAGCTGCAGAGGTCGAATGGCGGTAGCAGGGAGACCTGGGGAGTTGCAGTAGTCCATGCGTGAGATGACAAGAGCCTGAATCAGTACCTGGGCAGCCTTCTGAGTGAGAAGAGGACGTATTCTCCTGATGTTGTAGAGCGTGTATCTACAGGATTGTGTTGTCGCAGTGATGTTGGGAGTCAGGGAGAGTTGGCTGTTAGGTGTGACGCCGAGGTTCCTTGCGGTTAAAGTGGGCGTTAGCACGGAGTTGCCAAAGTTGACCGTCAGGTCCCGGGTCAGAAAAAATGATTTTCAGATGGTGGCCGGACATCCACTGAGAGATGTCAGTTAGACAGGCAGAGATCCGCGCTGCCACTTGGGTATCCGAGTGACGGAAGGAGAGAATTAGTTGTGTGTCATCTGCATAGCCGTGGTAGGAGAAGCCATGCGAGCGAATGACAGCGCAGAGAGAGTTGGTGTAGAGCGAGAAGAGACTGACTGGCGCTGACATTCCACCGGTCACTCCCCTTCATACTGCACTTGTCACTTTAACTGTCATTTCTCACTCGTCACTTTGTCGTCACTCGTCACTTTGTCGTCACTCGTCACTTTGTCGTCACTTGTCACTTTGTCGTCACTTGTCACTTTGTCGTCACTTGTCACTTTGTCGTCACTTGTCACTTTGTCACTTGTTTGTGCACTTTATTTTTAATATTTTTTAACTTTTTAAATATTTGTAATTTTTAACTTTGACTTTATTCTTATTGTATACTAACCCATAGCCTTATTCTACTAACCCATTGCATTAGCATTTCATTTTACACTGTCTACTGTCACGCACCAACCGCCAAGACGAATTCCTATGACGTATGACATATTTTGGCAATAAATATTTCCTGATTCCTGAACTCTTGCCTCCTTCAGAGAATTGGGAAAACAGCCAGATAACAGAGCATTGTTGTTGAGGCAGGTGAGGAAAGGAAGAAGGTCAGGAGCGATAGATTGTAGAAGATGTGATGGAATGGGGTCAAGAGGGCAGGTGGTCGGACGGGCAGAGGTTACTAGGGTAAGAATTTGGTTAGGAGACGGGGGTGAAAGAGGAAAGTGAGGGCGATAGAGGTGAAGCCAGTGGGACGCAAGAAGTAGGTGGTGGGTTTGAGAAAGAGGAGCGTATGTCAGCTATTTTCTTGGTAAAGTAGTTGACGAAGTCACCCGGAAGAAGGATGGAGTGGGGAGGAGGACTAGGGGGTTCGAAGAGGTTGGAGAAGATCGAAAAGAGTTTTTGGGGTTAGAAAATGAAGATTCAATACTGGATTGGTAGAAAGAGCTTTTGGCAGCAGAGATAGAAGCAGAAAAAGAGGAGAGAAGAGATTGAAATTCAAGCAGATCATCAGGTCGTTTATATTTAAGCCATCTCCTTTCCGATGCTCGCATGGTGGCTCTCATGGCACCGGTTGAGACAGCCACGGAGCCGGAGGGGATTTGCTGACCCGTCGGGTCGTCAGAGGGCAGAGAGAGTCTAGAGAGGAGGAAAGAGTTGATAGGAGAGTCTCAGCAGCAGCGTTCGGATGCAAGAGTGAGAAGGAGTCGGTGGAAGGGAGAGCTGATAGAACAGAGGATGCCAGCGAGGAGGGAGAGAGGGAGCGAATGTTGCGACGAACAGGTACAGAGTCAGTCAATGAGGGAGGTTTGTTAGTTATAGACAGTGGGAGAGAGTAAGAGATGAAAAAGTGGTCTAGTTTAGTGAAGATGTAGTCAAGGTGATTGCCGGCTTTGTGAGTAGGAGGAGAGGGACTGAGTGACAGAGCGAAAGAAGAAAGTAGGTGTAAGAGGTCAGATGACTTCTCTGCCTGGATGTTGAAGTCACCCAGGAGGATGAGTGGAGGTCCATTTTCAGGGAAGTTGGACAGGAGAATTTCCCTTTCTTCCAAGAAATGACCCAAGGAGCCTGGTGGACGGTAAAGGACAACAATGGTTAATTGCACCGGGCGAGTGACTGTTACAGCATGGAATTCAAACGACAGTGGGGTGGATGGTGGAAGAGGGTAAAGAAAAAAGCTCCATTTGGGTGAAAGGAGTAGACCTGTGTCACCACCCCTACCAGTG